AGGGCCAGCCTGTGTCAAAACTAGGTGTCATGGACATGACAGAGAGTGACTTCTTCCTCAGGGCACATGCTCTGGGGGAACAGCCACCATGTGTGGGGGTGCTAAGCCACCCCATAGGGACGCCCAGAGCCAGGAGCCCAGGCCTGCTGTCTGAGCCAGCGTGTGAAACGCCTCCACTGCCAAGCCTTCCGATGACCATGGCCGCAGCCGGCACCCTAACCTCAGCCTCACAGGAGAACAGGCCAGGACCCCCTCCCCTCCACCCCTGTTAAGTTGCTCCCGAGTTCCCTTCACACAGAAACCTCAACATAACTGTTTCTGCTATTTTAGGCCACTAAGTTTGGGGGTAAGTTGTTAAGCAGCAAAGGGTAACGGACACAGGGTAACTCACAACCACCACAGTTACACTGGGTCTCCCCAACTTCCTTCTCCAGATGAGTTAATAAAAGCTCCTACAAATGGTTGTTATGTGGTAACAGTTGTAGTCATGGGAACAAATGTTTTTGAGCATGAGGCTGCATCTGGCTCCACCCTCAGTGTGTCCCTGCCGTCTCCCTTACTGCAAAGGGCCCAATAAATAGGAAGACAGAGTTTATAGCCAGATGGGTGCAAACTGGATCCCAGCTCGGAGAGCGACCTCACAGGTTACTGCCCTTTTGCCTCTGGGCCTCAATTGCCTCTATAACGGTGCTTTTACCCACATGGCTCATCGAGTCAGCAAACCCATCCACGACCCTTGCACTGGGCAACAGAGATGACCACAGTGTCCAAGTTTACTGGGCACCTGCTATGTGCTGGCCAGCATTTGCTGGGCACCCGCTGCATACTGCCCAGCATTTATTGGGCTCTCACTGCATACTGACCAGCATTTACTGGACATCTACTGCACACCGACCCATAGAAAGGCGAAGTGACGTGCCCAGGTCACACATAGATAAGAGTGGAGCTGCCATGTGAACCTTCCCTTACCATGGAGCTGAGCTCCCAGAGAGGGTGAATAGGAGGCCCGGGGTCAGCCCCTTCCTCCCAGGGATCCTCAACCCGACCATTGGCCTGCCCTGAATCTCACTTCCCAATCGTGACTGTGGAACTAGTAACAAACCACCAGCCACAGTAGCACTGGGGCACAGGCCAGGTGCTGGGCTGTCGGATCTGCTGAGAGTAAGATACCAGGTAAAGGAACTAGCCACCCAGGCTCATCCTGCAGCCCACACACTTAACCAGCGTTCTCCTGCTCTGCTCATGAAGCTCACAGCATGGCCAGGGCACATGGTAGGACCTCAGGTTCCTCGTGGGGCAAGGCACCATCCCCACCTCCCAGCTGACGAGAGTTGACAGGCTTTTCTGTAAAGGTAGGAAGTGCTGTCAGCTTTGCAGGCCAGTACCTGTTGTGACTGTTGGACTCTGCCATTACAGCAAGAAAGCTGCCATAAACAACCTGTCAGTGGATTGATGTAGCTGTGTGCCAATAAAACTTTATTTACAAAAACAGGCAGTGGGTCAGATTTGACCCATGGCTGTAGTTTGTGGACTTGGGGGGGATGAAATACGTTAACGCGTGTTAAATGGATAGGCACAGTGTTTGTCCAAGAGCGACCACCTTGTGAGTGTAAATACCATTGTCAGGAGGCAGCTAGAGGGTCCTGTGGGGCAGATGCCCACCCGCTGATTCAGCAGACCCTTAGTGAGCAGCTGCTATGGGCCAGGCACTGGGGTTATAGAGTGACCCACAGATAAACCCTGATGTGGACTCTTGGACATTTTGGTTAATAAAGGCATAAACTTACAGGAGCACCATGTATTGAGTCTGATGGTGGTGACTGCTGCAAAGAAAGAGGAGGCAAGGGTTAGGGAGGACAGGGCACCACCAGAAATGTGATTCAGGAAGCCGTGGGGAGAGCTGGGGGAAGGGCATTCCAGGGGGAGGTCACAGCCTGTGCAAAGGCCCTGAGGCTGGGCCCAGCCTGGTATGTTGGAGGGAGGGCTGGGGGGCAGGAGACTGGTCTAGGCAGGTAGGCACAGGGGCTGAGGGCCCTGCTGGGCTAGCCCAACACTCCTGTCTGCCTGCAGGACAGCCTTCAACAACAACGTCGGTGTGGCCTATGAGTGCCTGAGCGCCAGCGGGCGCAAGAAGAAGCCAGGACTGGATGGCCGAACCTACAGTGAGCTGCTCAAGCGCATCTGCCGGGATGGGGAGGCCCCAGAGGAGGTTGTGGCACCCCTGCTGCGCAAGATACAGTGCCGGGACCACGAGGCCGTGCCCCTGGACATCTTCCGCACTGGCATGCTCACCTGTTTTGTGCTGCTGGAGTTTGTGGCGCGGGCCAACGCCCTCTACCAACTGCTGGAGGACCCCACCCTGGCTGTTGCTGACCGTCGCATGGGCCAGGCTGTGCTGGACACCCTGGAGGGGGCCCTGAAGGCCAGCAATGGTGCTACTGCCCCTGCCCACTACCTGGAGGCTGGCTCACTCCTGGGGCCTGACAACCTGGCTCTGGCCATGGACCGTGCCCTGGAGGCTCGGCGGCCCAGCTCCTCTATGACCCGGGAGGAGTTTCTGGAGAAGGCTGCTGCCCTCTTCATTGCCAAGGTCAAGCCAGTGGGCTGAGCGCCCCCATCTCACCTCACCTGTCTCCTCCACCCAGACAGCTGGGGGATGCTTTGAGGCCTGGCGCACCTGCTCCTGGGCAGAACATGGGTCTGGAACCAGGACTGGTGTTACTGCATGCAGGGGGTGGTGCGGGGAGCCCCCACCCAGATTCAGATCTGGAATGATACTCCGGCCCCCTTCAGGGGGAGGCCGAGGGCCCCTGAAGTGGACACCCCTCCCCACACACCTGCAAAGGCCCCTCTCAGCAGTAATAAAGTTTGCGTCCCAGGCAGACCTGATGTGTGTGCGCGCTCCCCACTCCCCAGCCCTGTTCTGCAGAAACGCTTCTCCACCCCCGTGCACACTGGCCCACCCCAATAGGCCCACCACTGCCCAGAGGCCAGATTTGCCGCTGGGAAATGCCAGGTGCCCCTGGACACGGCTTGATGGGAGCGGAGAGCAATGGGGCATCTGGTGAGGTGCCCTGGACCCAGGAGGCCCTGCCCCAGGGCTGTGGGCCTGCAGAGCAAACTGCTCTGGAAGACAGAGACCTGGTCCCCAGCCCTCGTCTCTACACATGCCCCACCCAAGCAGTTCCTCCCTGGGCCTCAGTCGCCAGGTGTGAGATGAAGAGGTCACTGGCGGATACTAGTGGCAGTGATGACGGAAACAGCTAACACATTCAAGCCCTGCAACGTCCTCTTTGACTCTCACCTTGGCCCTATAAGTCGCTACCCTCATTTGACAGATGGGGAAACCCCACAGGAAAAATCAGGTGCTGTGGCCAGAAAACAGGCAGGCAGAAGCCCTAGACCTCCACCCTCGCAGGTTTCAGAGTTTGCGGAGCCGGCTTTCCTGAGGGATGAGGCTCCATGGGGGACGAGCCCCAGGAGAGAGGGGGGCGGAAATCCCGCACCTGCCTTTACATTTTTGGTACTCCCTAGGGCTGTGGGGTGTACACAGGGAGAGACCTTGGGAAACCTCTCTGGAAAAAGTGATTATTTATTGACGAGCTGCCACATGCCAATGCTATGACATTGGTTTTATGGGCGGAACACTTGGACCACTCAGCAGAGGTAACGGCCCATTTGACAGGGCCTGCTCCAGGTCCTCGGGGTGCAGGGCAGAGGGCCTAAGAGATGAAGCCTAGAGCTTTATGGCTGAGAAAGCCAAGGCCCAGCGTCGGGCAGCCATTTGAGCTGCTGCTCTGCCAGGGCTCTGACTCCTCCATTCCACCCCATTATGGACATTTTATTTTCCTTTCTCCAGAGAGATTTACCTGCCTGTCAGCTGGACAAGGCACAGGGCCAGGTGCTGTGGCATCTCGCAGAGGGAGTCACCTCAGTCCAGCCTGAGGTGTTGTAGGTGTTGGCTACTGAGAACACCTGCCAGTAAGGCAGGCAGACCCCAAAGCCTGGGCCACAACAGGTCACCCTCACAGGGAGTTGTCACCCTGTGGAGGTGGGATTGAGACCAGGGGACTACACCTCACTGTCCTGACCAAGTGTCCTGACAGGTGGTGTGTGGGAGTCTGGACCTGGGGGCTCAACTAGGTCAAAGCTCAAGGCAGGTCAGGGTGAAACCCTGGGTCAGGACTTGGGTGGAGTCAAAGGTCAGCCTGATATTAGGGTCCAGCCAGGATCAGGGGCTGGTCTGGGGATTCGGTCAGGATGTGTGCTGAATGAGTGCTGAACGGAGAGTGCAATGACTGCTTCCCCGGTTTCCTGGCGGAGCAGCGTCTTCTCCATCTCTTCTGATTTCAGTTTGTGGATCCGAGTGGTGGTGACCAAAGCTCTGCTCAGGCCTCGCGTACGTACTGCCTACAAAAGGCCTTCGCACCCTCCCGGAGCTGGTCCCTAGCCTCAGCCCCACAGAGGGTAAAATGAGGCACGGAACGGCTAGGACGGGGTGTGCGGGACCCAGCGCGGGTTCCCACCTACCCTCCCGCCTGACCATTAGCCCAGTGCCCTTTCTGGTCGCTCTCAGCAAACCGGTAAGGGAATACACCAGTCCATCCACCAGTCCATCCACGGAAGAGGAAACAGGACCAGGGCGGGTCGCGACCGGAACACTCCGCCCCACGGGAACCCCGCCACGCCCTACCCCGGCCCACCTCCTAATTCCCCGCCCCGGCCCCGCCCCGCGCCAGGGACGTCACAAAAAAGATCCCAAAAGCCCGGCGGTGTGGGCTGCGACTGCGCAGCCCAGGCCTGCCCACCTCCCCGCTCAGAGGCGTCCAGGGTCCTCGTTCGAGCGGGGCGCTGCTACGGCCTCCCAGGGGGTCGGCAGCACCGAGGCGCCTGGGCGTTTGGCCCCCTCCCTCCCGGCTGTCGCGCTCGGCGCGCACCCGGCGGCCCGAGGGAGGGGGGAACTCCACTTCCCGGCCTGTCCCGCGGGTGAGCGCGCAGGTGTGGTCGGGGGCCTGGCCGCGGCGCGCAGGCGCTGTCGGGGCCCGGCGACAGCGCGTAGGCTCAGCGCGGGGCGGGGCGCGCGGACCCGGCAGAAGGGAGCACCGGTCGGGCGGCGGCGCCAGAGCGAGTGGAGCGCTCAGGGACTCCGGGCGGCGGCGGCGGCGGCGGCGTAGAGGAGGAAAGCGGCGGCGGCCCCGGCGGCGCCCCCTCGGCCGGCGCGCGGCCCGGCCCGTCCCGCGCCCCTGCAGCGGCCTCTCAATCCAGTGCGCCCCCGATCCCGGGCCCCTCCGCCGCCGCCGCCATGGCCCGGCCGCTGGTTCCCAGCTCGCAGAAGGCGCTGTTGCTCGAGCTCAAGGGGCTGCAGGAGGAACCAGTGGAGGGCTTCCGGGTGACCCTGGTGGACGAGGGCGACCTGTACAACTGGGAGGTAGCCATTTTCGGGCCCCCCAACACCTACTACGAGGGCGGTTACTTTAAGGTGAGCCCGCAGCCCAGTTAGGACACCGCGACACTTCTCTTGGGATGGTCCCCGCACTCCCTCTGCCCAGGCCCACCGCTGTCACTCAGGGGGACGCTGCCCCCGAGAAGAGCTCAGGGGGACCTCTTCTCGGGCCTCAGGAGTCCCCGAGAACCTCCCCGTTTCCTCTAAGGCCTCCCAAAGAGGAGACCCAGGACACTCCCTGTTTTGTTTGGGTGTATTGCTTACCTCACTCCTGAAAGAGCTCAGCCCCTGGTGCCCCCTCCCTCCGCCCCGCCCTAGCTGACCCAGCCTTTAGCTCCGTTCCCAGTCCTCTGCCCTAAGGAGACAAAGAGGCCTCCCCAGAACCAGCAAGCACTATTGTTGGGGAGCATCGGCCGGAGGGAGAGAGGGAGGGAGGCCAGTGGGGCGGGGGTGGGGGTCTGGCTCTGCCACTTGCTCAGATTCTAACAAAGGCCTGGATAGGTCCTTGGCAGCCAGGACCTGCTTGGAAAGCAGCCACCCTTGCCGATAGCAGCGGGCCAAGCCCTCTCAGCTTTATCCAGAGCTTTATGTAACCTGTTCTCTTGGGAAGGTTGAAATGGGGCTGTCACTCCCATCATTTACCCTGTCCCTGGGAGCCACACTGCAGAGGCACCTCCATGGACCCCAGGCCTTTAGCTCCTACCGGCGTCCAGACCCTGCCTCAGAAGCTCTGGCTCCTCTCTCACCCCAACTGGCCTTTCTCAGATTCCACTGAGCAGGTGACCAGAATCTTACACTCTGGGCCATTTCATCCGTCCTCTGAGTGGTTTGATTTCAAGCAGTTCCCTTTTGTTTTTGGGGTCAGGAAAGAGAGGTTGGTGTCTTCTCTGGGATGGGTGTGACAAAGAGCTCAGGCCAAAAACCAGGCAACTTTCTCAACCTCAGGAGCTCAGTCCAGACAGTGGCCTTGGAAGGACCCCATTCAGGTGGCAGGACTTGGCTTTTTGGGCCAGAAAGATGAGGCAAGGGGTCTCCCTGTGGGAGAGGTGAGAAATGAGCCCTGAGCGTAGAAACACGCCCCATCACAGCCTGCCAAGATCCTGGCTTGGACCTGCCAGGTTTTGCCTGGCTGGGAGGCCTGGGTGGGGAGCAGAAACCACAGCTAGGCCAGGCTGCGGGGGGAGGGGTGGGGACAGTGCTGCCCGGACAGATACCTCTGTTTGCATGGTTAACTAATGTTTTGGCCTCACCTGCTCAGTTGTCTGTGAGGGAGCAGCCTGCTCTGCTGGTGGGGGGAGGGGAAAGGGGGCAATTCCTTGATTGGGGGTGGGATGGGGAAGCTTTGTGAGCAGCCCTGGGCTGAGTCCCGCATTTGGAGCCAGGCCTCCCGGTACAGGGTACAGATGGATTTGGGGTCGGTGAGCCTTTTTATCTGCTTTGGGAGCATCAGGATGTGAAGATAAGGCTCTCAGAACCAGGATAACCAAGTTCCACCCTTAGATGAAGCCAGGCCAGGACTCTAAGCAAGATTGCAGGTCTGGAAAGAAAGGATGTAGGTTTCTAGCCATTACCCACTAAGTGGTTGCAAGAGATTGTGGGTAGAACCTCCCAGGCTGTTGTGGGGATAATCTTGTTTTCCTAGAAAAGAATGGATTGGGGAAGGGGCTCTGCCAGACTTGGATCACATCTGCCATAGGCGCCCTATAGTTTGTCCTCAAGAAAGCCAGCATGGGACCCAGGGCAGCTCTGCCACCCACCGACCCTCCCGTTGAGGTTCCAGTGTGGTTAGGTGGGAAGTAGGGGAAGAACCTTCGGGAGGACATGTGGAAACGCAGGAGTGGGAAGTGCCCCTGGGCCACCATCACTTCCCAACCACTTCCCTAGCACATTCCTCAAGGCCCAACACAGCCACTCCTAATTCTCTCGCTGAGCCGCAGGGGAGCACTTGGCCCAGGACAGGCCCCTAGGCAGTGCAGTGTGCTGAAGGCGTGCCAGAGAGCCAGACTTTGCATTTCACTTGCTGTGTGCACCTGGGCAGGGTGCTTTTCTTCACGAGATGGGACTTGGTGGGTGCTTAGTGCAGGGGAGGCCTCTGCCCCTGCCCTGCTGCGGAGGCCTCAGCCTCAGCCTTTCTCAAGGTCATCACTTAGAAGCCCAGCACTGGGATTGGGAGACCACAGGACAATTGGTGAGATCCAGGTTCTAGACTTGTTCAGAGGCCATGGCCAGTGGCCTCATTGTTCATCCAAGAACAGAGAGACTTAATCCAAATGCCCTGGGTGGCCCCTTCCCAGCAGAGGTGCCCTGCTGTGGCCCCCAGCCTACTGCTCGCCCCTGAGAGCCTGAGGCACTGCCAGGATCCCGGGCCAAATGTCCCAAAGCCTGGGACTTGGGGCTTAAGCAAGCAAATGAAGCTTCCTTACCCACTGAGAGGTGGCCCTCCCCTGTCTACTTTGTGGCCTTCCTTGTCTGCCTTTCTGATCTGCCAAGATGGGCACTTGTGAGCAGAGAGTCCACACATGAGTCAGAGGTCACACAGCACTGACTCATCTCCTTCCACAGGGCCCAGGCCCCGGAGATGTTGGGAAGAATTGCCAAGTGAACACACATCTATTTTAATACTCCCTACAACTCAGAAACTGAGGCAGGGAGTCTAGCACCATGTTTTAGGCTCACAGCTCTTAGAACCAAGGCCCCAGGCCCCTGCTGATCTGTGGAGCTATTTGCTGGTGTGAGCCCAGCAAATCCTAGGGCCCAGCTTCCTGGCCCTCCTCCAGGCCAGGGCCACAGACCTGGGCAGGTGCCCATGCTCCCCAATAGCAGGGTGGGCATCAGGACCAGCTCAGGTGACCCCACACAAGCCCGAGGTAACCTGCTGTATGCCTGACCCCAGGCCTTTGAGGGGTGGGGACAGCGTGCGGGGTTCTGTGTGCACTCCTGCGCACGCAAGTCCCCGCCCCAGCTGAGCAGCCCTTCTGGAGTAGGGGGCCTCCATCCCAGGCTGATGTCTTTGTGTGCTTATGGGCAGAGTCTATAAGAGGTAGCCTGTCCTGTCCAGTCTGAACCCATACATGACACCGAGGAGACAACAGGGCTGGCCCTGGCTGAGTCCTCCTGCTCTCTGCCCACCCCCCAGGCACGCCTCAAGTTCCCCATCGACTACCCTTACTCCCCGCCAGCCTTTCGGTTCCTGACCAAGATGTGGCACCCCAACATCTATGAGGTGAGCCTGCCTCTCCCAACCTACCCCTCCTGGTCTCCCTGTATTGGGGGTGGGCAGGGGAGGGGCGTGGCTTGGCCTGCTGAGCTGGTGCGGGCACTGACCCCTTTCCCTCCTGTCCCTGCACAGACAGGTGACGTGTGCATCTCCATTCTCCACCCCCCAGTCGACGACCCCCAGAGTGGTGAGCTGCCCTCAGAGCGGTGGAACCCCACCCAGAATGTCAGGTGAGGCTTGGCAGCAGGTAGGTGCCCCACCCCTAGCATTCCTGACCTTGCTCCAGCCCTGGGAACACAGACATGGGGAGACACACCTGTGTTGTCCTCAGGGCCATAGCTCCTTGCAGTACTGTGGCATCTCTAGAAACTGGTCTTCTGCCAGGGTGCTAAGGCCTTGGGGTCCTGGGCCATGTCTGCTGGCCTCTCCCCTCATTTCCTAATACCCAGCGCCCCATCCAGTGGGTATCCTGTGTCTATATCCTTTTGCCCACAGATTCTTCTCTCTGCATTCATCTGAGGTCTTCCCTCCTTCCTCAACCCCTACTGAGCCTAGCCACCTCCATCCTCAGGGGGGAACTCCTCACTCTGAGTGGGCCACCCCCCGGCCTCCCCATGCTCAAGTCCCAGGGCCTTGCCTGCATGTCCTTAGTCCAGTCTAGGCCATAGTAAGAGATGGTAGCACAGAGAAACCCATTTTTCAGGCAGGGCACTAGGGCACAGGAGAGGAATGTTTCTGGTACAAGGAAGGCGGTTCTGGGCTTCACTGTCCACACATGTCTTGTCCAGGGAGATGGGCATGTGGCAAAGGGCAGGAGGAGACCAGCAGCCAGGGAAGGCCCAGTGAGAAGTCCAGACAAATGTCGATCTTGGGGTGCGGGGGGTGCCAGGGGGTCTCTGGATACTGGCTTTAGGGTGTGTACGAAAGCTCCCCCATTGACTCAGGCCTAAAAGGCTGCAGAGCTGGGACTTGGTGCACCCTCCCATTAACAGGAGCCACTGCGGGATGTGCTTAGCCTGTGGCTCCTGCTGCAGCGTCGGACCCAGCTTCCAGGGTGGGTGGTGCAGCCAGTGACTAAACCGCATGCCCTCCACCTACTGACCCTGTGCTCCCTCCCCCAGGACCATCCTCCTGAGCGTCATCTCCCTCCTCAACGAACCCAACACCTTCTCCCCAGCCAACGTGGATGCCTCTGTGATGTACAGGAAGTGGAAAGAAAGCAAAGGCAAGGACCGGGAGTACACAGACATCATCCGGTAAGGAAGGGATCCCAGACCGGCCTGGCCTCTTACATCTGCCCACAGGCAGGAGTTGCTAATGGGGAAACCTAGGCCACGAGCAGTGGGAAAGATCAACCAGATTCAAGCCCAACCCACTGGCTCTTTCCTGGGCTTTTTTCTTTCTCTTTCTCTTTCTTTCTTTTCTTTTTTTAAAGAAAATTGGGTGTTTTTCTTCCTTGAAATATCTGTTACACAAGTCCAAAGTCTGTGTATTTAATGTAATCCGTAGATCTATCGTGTGCGTGTGTACCTGCTCAGGTATACGTGTGTGTTGGGATGTGGGTGTATCACACATAGGGACACAGGAGTGTGTCACAGAAATAGACACTCAGGTGTCCAATAGCAAGCTCCAGAAGTCCTCCTGGTCTTCCTTTGCCCCTTGCTTGCCTCCCTCCTGGACAGCATATCTGAGAACGGGGGTTCTCCTGTTACATTTGGTCCATGTAAGTGTATCCAGCAAATGGTGTGGGGTGCTTGTCTGCTTTTAGGTGCTGATGACCCGTGTCTGGGCGTGCACATGTCCTTCCACTGCTTGCCTCTGTCCCTCATCAGTTTTTCATGTGGGTATTTATCATGTTACTGAGACTGCATTTGTGTAATGTTTTATTTTTCCCACTTAATTTGCAGCTATAAGCATCCCTTCAGTTTGTAATTTTGAAACTTGAATCATTATCTAAAGGGAGAAAAACTGTTATGCTATCAGCCTATTTAGAAAATAGCCTTCTTTTTCAAAAAATAATTTTTTTCCTGGCTATAAGCACAGCGTGACCCTCTCCTCCCCTCAGTCCCCAGTGCCCTCCTCTCAGGAATGAGCAGGTGAGCATCCGACAGCCTTTGTAGAGTGGACGCGCAGCAGGGCAGGTGCCAGATTGGGGACAGAGCCTTGTTCAGCGCCCTGGGCGTGCAAACCATCAGTGTTCTCTCTATGCTGTGTGACCTGTTCTTTCTGCCTTGCTCTGTGTATCGAATCCTGTGAGCTGCTGTGTCCTTTTCATCATGGGGTTTACTGACTTGTTTTGTGACAAACAACCCTCTGTTAAGGTTTGTTTTTGTTTTTTTCCCAAATACCTTTTCAGTTTGTAATTTATCTCTTAATGAGAAAAGTAAATGAGAAGTTAGACACTCCCCTGCTTATGGCCCAGCTGTTTTAGGCTTGAGTACCCAAGAGCTACAGGCACGTGTCTTCAGCAGCATCCACGCAACTATTCAAAACGGCATCAGTTCGCCAGAAACAAACAACAACCCAAATGTACATCCTCAGATGAAGGGTGAGCAAGCCCTGGCCTGTCTACCAGTCAGGTGGACGTGTCTCCAGGCATTGACTTTCGTGAAGGAAGCCAGGCAAGCGTGGGCGCTGTTGGCATGCTCCCGATGGGAGTCCTAGGAAGTGCATCTGGCCGTCGGGGATGTGGAGCTTAGGAGGCTGGGGGTGATGGGTGCGTTTGTGAGCTCATTTGTGGGGTGCTTTCACACTTTAAACAGGTGCAGTTCATGTAAATCTACAGAAACAAAACAAGCAATGAGAAGGCAAAAACATTTCTGTACAAATAGAAACAAAAACCCCATGATCCTAATACCTAATGGTTAATGTTTGAGTGTATCCTTCCAGACATTTACCCAAAAATGGACCACAGTACATATGCCACCTCATAACCAGCTTTTTTAGGTCAGATTTGTTGAGGAGTTAATGTACAGTAAAGCCCATCGTTTTGGGGCTCAGTTTGGTGAGTTTTGACAGTTAACGTGACCGCCTCCTTGCTGAGGTACAGATCCAGCTCCATCACCTGAAACTTCTCCTTGGCCTCCCCAAGGATGATGAGGGTGCAGTGGCCAGGCCTGGTTCCTACCCCTCTACTGTCCTTCCCTGCCCACTCCACCCCATCAGCCACTGCTCTCACCTAGAAAGTAGGGAACAGCCTATTGCAGCTTCCTAGTACCTGACCTTGAAGGCTGTCCCTGTGCTTATGTGTTGTAACCTGTTTTATTCCTTCCTAATAAACCAACTCTTCCCTGTCTAAATAGCCCTTGGTTCTCAATTTCACGCCCCCCGCCCCGCAGTTTGCCTATTCTGTCTTACACACGGGTGTACGCATGTGCGAGCGAACGTGCATGCTCTCACGGAGACTGGTGCAGTGTTTTGTTTGGGGTGTTGGTGACCTTGTAGTGTCGGGTCTTCTGCCGTTTTCTAGTACCCTCTCCCTTCCATTTACTTTTCCCTGACTAAATTGAGCTGGCTTTCTTACCGAGGTCTGGCCTATTTTTGCTGCTTGTTCTGTGGCATTTTATATAAGAAATCTTTAAATGACTTTGACACATGCACAGCCCCCAGAGGACCTGTGCGCATACAGGGTACACCCTTCTTCTCTGTGCCCCGCTATTGGCCCAGGACAGCTGTCCCTGATGCTGGACAGTGTTCTGTCTGCGGAGCTGATGAAGAGCTGTGGTGGGTGTCACCACGCTAGTCCCCCAGCAGCTGTCTCAGGAGGTGCTCGGCAAACCCCTCCTGGTCTGCCAGCCCCTGTCGAGTGTGCACAGCCCTCAGGGTCACAGGCTGAGTGCTGGGCGGCACCTCCAGAGTCTTCTGCCCACGTGGCCCGCTCCTCTGCCAGTTCTTCCCCGCCACCTTCCACGTGGTGCTGAAATAAAATCCAGACTATTTTTATCCCTCCAGACTCCCTGTGGGCCAGCTCACATGTGCCCACGTGGGCAGCTGTGATGGCTGCTGTCCTCCTGTTTGCTCATCCCCATCTATATTCCCGCCCGTTCTGTCGGGATGGCAAGGCAGAGTCCCAGGTGGGCTTAAGAGGTTTTAGCATCTGCATGTCGGTCCTGCGAGGTTCCAGCTTTAGACATACTTGGCAGAGGGGCTAGTGCGTCGGATGGCCGGGCGTACAACCGTGGGATGCTACCAACCTCTGTCACCTCACTTGTCCTCCCTTCGACTGTCAGCAGAAGCATTTCCCTAACCTCACTGCTGCCTCGCGAACAGTGCAGTGCTGAGTTTGCACTTTCCTGGGTGAGCCTGTCACATCCTTTTCCTCTCTCCCAGAGTGCTGGCCCCACTGTCCCCTTTTTCTCTCATCTGCCTGCCTCCCACTCAGCTAAATGAAGTCCCTGTTGCCGGGGAGAACTAACCCCCCTTGACATTTTCTCAGGTGGGTTAAGTGTCAGTTTGGTGGCAGCGCTTTGACCTAGTGTAACAGTCTTCCGGCTTGCCTTCAGCCAGGCCCCTCCCCGGGGCTTAGTGCGCAGACGCCCTCCACACTGAGCTAGGTCGCCTCCTTCGCTCCAAAGGCTCCTGGCTGTGGAGCCTTTCAAGGCCATAACTCACCTTACTCCCTCCGTGTCTCCTCCAGGAAACAGGTCCTGGGGACCAAGGTGGATGCGGAACGGGACGGTGTAAAGGTACCCACCACGTTGGCCGAGTACTGCGTGAAGACCAAGGCCCCGGCACCCGATGAGGGCTCGGACCTCTTCTACGATTACTATTACGAGGATGCTGAGGCCGAGGCCGAGGCCGACAGCTGCTTTGGGGATGATGAAGACGACTCCGGCAATGAGGAGTCCTGACACCATGTCCTTCGCCGAATAAACTTACAGATTTTACCTCACCAGGCCCAGACTGTGTGGGCTCTCGGGCACCTCCTGACGCCTAGACTACCTCAGGGAGGTGGCTCCGCTCTCTTGCGTTGTCTCCTTGGTCTCACTTTCCTTTCCCTGGTTGTTCTGGGTTTTCCTCTGCTTCAGAGAGGAGGGGCCATCGCATTGTGTCCCCGGGGCCACACTAGTGCTGGGCACCTGGCAGCCAGTCCTGAGGGCAAAGGTGGCCTGAGAAGCCCCAAACCCCAGGCCTGTCTGCTACCCGCTGGCTGGAGCCAGAGACTTGGGGTGCCCAGCTCATGAGTGGATGGATTAACTCATGGCCATCTCTTCTCTCTGCTTTGGTTTGTTTGGATTCCAAATAAAGTGACTTTACAAGAAGCCAGAGAACCAACCTCTCCTTGGCCTCCCCAAGGACCATGGGAGTGCAGTGGCCAGGCCTGGTTCCTGCAGCACCGGAATGCGTGGGGCCCAAAGGCAGGCCCGGAGGCCACAGGTGTTCCGTGGAGGCTGTGGTTGTGGGCCCACAGTCCCGAGCCCTAGGCTGGGAACCACCTGCGGCTCCCCGGCAGCTCCGCCCCGCTGCCTGCAGAGGCCGCAACCAGTGTCACCTAGGCCTCTGGCTTGATTCCTATGTAACTCAAAAGGCTGGGGCACGCTGGATTCAGGGTTGGAGAGCGCCGTCGGGACAAAGGTCTGGGTGAGCCCTGGCCTGACGCCACTGAGGCCGGAGCCTGTGTGACCCCCGTGCAGGTTGGGGACAGGTGCACCCCAGGGCCCAGCCAGACCCCGCAGAGCCTGCACATCTTGTCTGCTTCCTGCTCTACGAACGTCCTGCAGCCTGGGTGCCATAGTACAGCTATCTCGGTTGGCCCCCGCAATTTTGTTTTTTTAATGTGAGTGATTTTCCTACATTAAAACGTGGAAGGTTTCACCCAATTGTCTTAGTTTCTGGCTTTCCTTAAACCCGATTGGGGGGCAGTGAGGGGCCACTCTCAAGGGGACACTCATTCACCAGTCTCAACTGGATTTGAGCCCAGGCTACCCTGTGGCAACTGCACCTGTCCCACCTCCGCCCTGGGCCTTGTCCCAGGCACCTCTGAGCCCCACTGTGTATGACAGGTGACTCAGCCCTGAGAACACCCACAGGTGTCCTCGGACCCCCGTGTGTGCACCCCAGGAGTGCGACCCCTCCCCAAGCACTCTGCCAGCACCAAGGCCAGGCCAACAGCCTGTGTTTTTAACTTGCAGACACTTCCTGCTGGTAAGAGGTGGTGGGGATGTGCAGCTTGCTCTCACTTTGCACCTTTCAGAGGCATTTCCTGAGGGGGAGGCTGAGAATCCGCACCTTGTGGGTAATGAAGGAGCAAGTGTCACCCACAGTATGAACTACTCCCCTGGGCTGTTTGCTGTGAGCCCAGCAGGTGGATGGCAGCCTTCAGAATGGCAGTGGACGGGAAGGAGCCTGCACTAAGAGGCCCTGGTATCAGCGAGCCAGGAGCCACTTCTGGCTGCACCCACTTTACCTGTGTCTGGCTGTTTGTGAGCTGCAGCTTCAGTACTAAGTAATCGCAACCCAGAGTAGCCCAAAAAGTAAGAAATTACTAAAGTGTGGCCATTTACAGAAAACTGCCGACCCACTGCCACCATCCTCAGGCCTGATGGGTCAGCCTCTCTGCTCTCCCTTGGGCCTCCTCCCTGTCCCCATACTGCCACTGCTGCTGAACCATCTGAAACTCTGACACAGAGCCACTGGCAGTTTATGCTCAGCACCTGTGGGTCAGGAATCCGGTGATCTGTCCCCTCATCATTACATATAGGTGACTTGAGCCGTGGGGCCTGGGGTCATCTGGAGGCATTCAAGTTGGGAGCCTGGGTTGGGGCAACTTCGACACCAGGCTCAGTGGGAGAGTGCCCACGCGTGGCCCCACAATTATCACCAGGGTTTCCTCTCAGCATGGCACAGGCTCCAAGGTGAGGGTTCCAGGTCCAAGGCCGTTTCTGAGCAGCCTTGGAGGTCACACCATGCCACGTCCGCTGCACATGACATGATTGGTTGAAATAGGCACAAACCCAGTGAGCTTCAAGGAGAGGGTGCACAGCCCCCACCTTTTGATGGGAACATGTTCAAGAACCAGTGGCCATGTTCTGAAACCACTACAACCTGTCCTCTTTTCCTCCTCAGGCCATACTCCACGTAATTATCAAAAGACGTTTTGTACACACAAATCTGACTCTAACATCTGAGGCCTCCAGATTCGAATCCTCTTGACTGACCAAGGCAAGGACAAGCGGCTTCAACACTCAGAACTCCAGTGTTCCACGTGCTCTCCCTCCCAGGAGCCAGCTCATACCTTTACCCTCCCCCTCTTCTTCTCCCATAGGCGTGCATCTCCTAAGCTCTGCGGGGCGCCGCAAGACTTGCGGCCAGGGGAGCAACGGGCAGCGGCAGCTGGTGCTGGGCTCACCCCCTGAACCTGTGTCTCCAAGGCCCCCTTCTCTCTGACTTCGAGAGCCAAAGCAGCCTTGCCTAGGCTCTCGCCTGTTGCTTCTTCGATCTTAAGCCCTGCCTTGCTTCATTGTCCCCAGCTTTAATAAATGTACTTTCAAAATAAAAATAAAGAACTCCAGTGTTCTAAGCTGCAAATGGGGATAACAGCGTTGTCCAGTTAAATTTCAATTTCAGGTGAACAACAAAGTGTTTACTATAAGGGTATCACATGCAATATTTGGGACACACTTATACAAAAAAAATTATCTAAAACGCAAATTCAACAAGGCACACTCTACATTTAGTTGCTAAATCTAACCATCCTGACATTATTGGAATCTACTTTCTGGAATTGTTAGGATTGAACAAGATAGGACCTGTGAACGCAGGCTACAAATATTAATTTTTTTAAACTTGACTCCAAGCAGAATATACCTGCCAAGAAGGACTCCTTGTGGTTAATCAGGCCCAAAATCATAACCGGAGTTGAGCAACCATTGTTTGCAGAGGTCCCTCATGAATGCTGTGTATCCAGAAAAAGCCACAAACTGGGCTGCCAGCCTCCTGTATTGCACTGTACTCCTGCCACTCTCTGAGCCGACCTTAAAAGAGAGCTCCTAGGATCAAAATTTCACCAATAGGCTGAAGAACTGCCCCCTCATCAGAGCTGTGCAGCTATAATCTCATTTGCATCTTTACCAACCAATTAGAGTGGCTTCATTCCAAGTAATCAGGAGAGTGCCTTTTGAGTCCATCAAATTCTGAAGATTTGGAGTCTCATTTGCATAAAAATGGACGAATCGGGGACCAGGGTTGGGAACTTCTCTATATAGGGCAGCCTCTCCTGTGCTGATGGAGCTCACTTCCAGTTTCTGACGGAGACCGACTCACACACTGGGGCTGAACAGAGCCCTCCTGCTAGGAGACTGGACCACCTCACCCAGGCCGGGCTGCCTGGGCTGTTTCAGAGCTCTACTGTATCATAACTGAGTTGTCTGACAGCCAAGCCCTCCCACTGCCATGTCATATCACAACTAAACTGTTTGCTCCAACTTCACCACACTCCAATTTGAGGATTTTTGTTGATGTTGAATTGGGGCAACCTTTGGTTGATAAACTCATCCCTAGCCTCACATACCCTATTGGGTGATGACAGAATTCCAGAGCCTCAAGTTCCAGAGGCTGTCAAATCAGAGAATGGATGGTGACTTGCTTCCAGAGCCCCAACACATAGGTGAATTCATCTGCCCTTTGGGATCAATTTTTTTCTGCCACTTCTCTTCTAATTGCCATGATCCTTTCAGTAGCAAAGGACAGAATACCCAACTCAAAATGACCTAGGCAAAAAGGAAATTCATTGGTTTCTGTGCCTGACCGGGCTGGGGGTTGCGGGCACGGCAGGATCCAGGCGTTGGTCCTGTCCAGACTCTGTCTCCCCCAGTCTGTGGTAAACAGAATAGCAGCCCCAAAGATGTCCATTCCTAGATCTCAGAGTCTTGCCTCTAAAAGCTGGGAAAGGCAGGAAACAATTCTCTCCTGGGCCCTCCAGGGAAATCAGCCCTGCAAATACCTGGGTGTAGCCCAGTGAAGCCCGCCAACTACTTCTAGCCTCCAGAACTAAGAGAGTAAGTTTGTGTGGTTTCAAGCACTGAATGTGAGGTAATTCATTTATCTGTTAAAGCCACAAGAGGAAATGAATAGCCCCAAGCTGAGCTTTCTCTGTGTGGGCCTCATTTTCAGAGGGTCTCCTCTCACTTTGGGACCACCCCCAGGCTGACATCCTTCCAGCTCCAAGTCCAACGGAGAGTGAGGGTTGCTCCAGTCAGCACTCCATGCAGCCAGGCCTGGCTAGGACCCTCAGGCTTGTGGCTATCCCCCAAGGGTTCATAGTACACGAGTGTTCGCACCATCTTTATCCAGAACAACCAAAGATCGGAAACAGCCCAGACATCCATGGAATGATGAACAGATAAACAAGATGTGGTCCAACCGTATAATGGAATAGGATTCAGACTTAAAAAGGAAGGAAATGCTGATACCTGCTACCATGTGGATGAACCTTGAGGATATTATGCTCATTGAAATAAGCCAGACACAGAACAAATTGTGTGATTCTACCACAGAGAGAGAAAGTAGATGGTGGGTGTAAGGGGCTGGGAAGGGAGGGAGTTCGTGTTTACTGAGGACAATGTCAGTTTGGGCAGATGAGAAAGTTCTGGGGATGGTTGGGGGGGTTCACTGCACAACAAAGTGAAAGTGCGTAACGCCACTGAGCTGTATACTTAAAAATGGTGAAGATGGTAAATTTTGTTATGTGTATTTTGCCACAATGAGAAACGAGGCAAAGAAAACAATCATGTTAAAACTACACACACACACACAAGCACAAAGGTGTGTGAGATGGGGGTTCAACATGATGGGATATTAGATGATGAGGAGGAATTTTTGTTAATTTTTCAGGTGTGATATGTAATGTGGTTTTTCTCTCCAGAGAGCCTGTGCCTTTTAGAAAGACTTTTCTGAAATGCCTCTGGGTAAAACAAAACCCACCAGGGGTTGTGTGTGTGCTGCAGAGAGTAAAGCTGTGAATGTTACCTCCCCCAAAGGAAGGGGTGGGTGGGGTGTGGAAGGTGCTGGAGGTCCAGGCAGCACCCAGAGCTGAGTCCCCCAGCACCATGGAGGAGGCCTTCTTAGCTCGGCTGCTGCTGCTGGCCCTGGGGGCCCTTTGGGCAGGTGAGTGAGAGCGGAGCAAGGGGGGAAATGCCCAAAGTTTAGGCCCCTTGGGCGCTCATGGGCGGGTGTCAGAACAGAGATGGGAAATAAATTCACTTTCCCCAGAAGGGGACCGGTGGAAGGAATGTCTGCTGCTCCAAAAAGGAGGCAAGGCCCAAGCAGGGGCCCTGAGGAAAAGGTCAGGTCACGTCAGGGCAGACATTTTAAGTTTTCCTCATTTAAAAAAAATTTTTAATTGATTTTAGAGAGGAAAGTGGGAGGGAGAGAGAGAGAGAGAGAGAGAAACATCGATTTGTTGTTTCACTTATTTTTGAATTCCTTGGTTCCTTCTTGATTGTGTCCTGACCAGGGATCAAAATCACAGCCTTGGCTTATCACGTTGACACTATAACCAACTGTACTACCCAGCCAGGTAGTATGAGAAAACCCCTAGTTTTCTCAATTGTAAATATGTTGCCACAGTTGCCTTATCACACTTGCTGGGTATGTGTATAAAAAACAAATATATATGTTATTTATCAGAACCAGTGGAGAGTAAGTTTCAGGCACACTGTTCCTCATTGCTAAATGCCACAGCGTGTTTCCTGCAAACAAGGACATTCTCTACACAATTATAGCAGATTCTCAACATCGTGCGTTCATATAGTGCTATTAGCTCATCTATAAACCTTATTCAAAAGTTCACGTAGTATCCTTTGTGGGAACAAACCCAGCGGGGTGCCTCTGGCCTCCTCCTTCACTATGGACAGTTTCTTCATTTCCCCCTGGGTCTTGTGACACTGGTGTTTGTGGTGACTGTGGGCCTGCCTGCTGTGTCCCCACGGTTAGGGTCAGGTTGTATATTTTCTGCAGGAACCACAGAGAGTTCGTGCCTGCTTCCCGGTGCCATTACCTTGATCTCTTGGTGTAGTTTACATTCACCAGGCTTCTCCAGGGGAAAATCACTGATTTCCTTTTGCAGTTGTGTTAAGGGGAGACTTTGGGACTCTGAGGATATCCTGTGTTCCTCACACTGCAGCCTGGAGCTGGATTCACAGAGCAACACAGAACGTAGGCCAGACGCAGGCTCTTCGTTTCCTGGCGGCACCCAGGAGGCAGGGTCCTTGTGTACATGTGCATGTGTGCACGTAACCCCGGGTTGCAGAGTAGGAAACCATGACCCAGCAAATGAGGCAACCTGCCCGGGATTGCCTGGCTTGGAAGCACAAAGCTCCCTGCTGGTGGCCTCTCCCAATCATTTATACTTGGCCAGGACTGGATGCTTAGGAGCTTGAGATAGAAGGTGGTGGGTGATGGACATCCCAGAATTTTGGGTGGGCTCGGTGAGAATAGCTCTGTGATAAATGGGGGACCCAGCAAGACAGGTATCCAACCATCCATCCATCATTCTTTCTTCCTCCCATCTACCCATCATCCATTTATCATTCATCAGCCATCCATCTATTATCTATCCATCATTTGTTACTCTTCATCCATCCATCAGTCTTTGCTGAGCACATACTGTTTAGGCCTGTTGCAAACAAGACAGGCTCTGGGCCAGCCCTCAAGGACTAGTGGGGATAGATAGTCAATGAGCAAGTCTGTGTGCGATACAACATCCGGGAGGGCTGAGCGCTAGGAGGAGAACAGAGCAGAGCAAGGGGAGGAAGGTTATATTAAGGAAGTTGGGGATGTGGGGGTCTTTGAGGAGAAGGCTTTTGAACAAATCCCCAAGCCGGGCTTGGGAAGGCCTGGAGGAAAGGCTGCCAGAAGAGCATGTGCAAAGACCTCAAGGCGGGGACAAAGGCAGTGCAGCGGGAGCAGCCCGGAGGCCGGCGTGGCGGGCGCGGAGTGAGGAGGCGCAGGGAAGGGGCAGGGCTTGCTCATGGGGGTCCTGGGTCGTGGAGAGGTTAGATGTTTAAAGCATAAAGCGGAATTGTAGGAAGATTTTGAACTGATCTACATTTAAAAACCTTTTATCAATCTTTCAAAATTCATGATTGATTTAAAAACAATTTTTATAACATTTTTATTGAGGTATAATTCACATGCCATACAATTCACCCTTCTAAAGTGTGTAATTCAGTGGGTTTTAGTACATTCAGGTAGGCAACCAGCACCTCTCTCTAGTTCCAGAAAGTTCCATCATCCCAGAAAGCAACCCATTAACATCTACTTCCCGTCCCCTCCCATAGCCTCTGGCATCCATTAACCACCACACTTCCTATCTCTGTGGGTTTCCCTGTTCTAGACAAATCACATAAATGGAATCACACACTGTGCGGCTCTTTGCGTCTGATTTCTCTCACTGAGCGTCATGTGTTCAAGGGCCAGTGAAGTTTTAGCGAACGACAGCACTTCACTCTTTTTCATGGCTGAGTAATAGTCCAGTGTGTGGATATATCACATTTTGTTTATCCATTACCTGTTGCTGTACCTTTTGGCTGTTTCCACTGTTTTGCAATGGTGAATCCTACTGCTGTGAACATGTGCGCACAAGGTTTTATGGATATATGTTTTTCTTGGAGGGGAGTTGCTGGGTCGAGTGGTAACTGTTTAACCTTTGAGGAACTGCCAGTTTGTTCCCACAGTGGCTGCATCATTTGGCATCCCGGGGAGGGGATGTGAGGGTCCAGTTTCTCCCCCTCAAACAGCTCCTCCAGCTGCTGTAATAGGGGCTGCGCTGCGGTGCCCAGGGAGGTCCTGGTGGGAACCAGAAGCAAGGGAGGGGGATGTGTGAATGCCAGATGGTTGGTCACCTGCTGATGACCACGATGTAGGGGTGAAGGATAAGAAGAATCAAGGGCAGCCCCACATGTCAACCTGCATATCTCAGGGAACAGAGGCACAATGTTAGGGTTGAGGCCCCCTAGGCCATGGTGAGGATGGGCTACTCGACCCTAACCTGGCACTCTGTTCCTCTCCCCAGGAGGTGACACGTTTGAGACCCACATCATTGGGGGGCATGAGGCTGTCCCCCACTCCCGTCCATACATGGTCTCACTGCAGGAGAAAGGCAGACACCTGTGTGGGGGAGTCCTTGTGCACAACTTGTGGGTATTGACAGCTGCCCACTGTGTACCGCCGAGGTAAGTGACTCTAATCTGCCCACCCCCTCTGTCACCTCAAGCATCCCCAATTCTATCCCGCATTCCCCATTCTCGCCAGGAGGTGGGTCCTGACAGATTTAAGCCAATTGGAGGGTCACGGGGTGCGCCCTTTCCCTCTCCTGTGACTGCTATGGTGTATGTGCGTGACATCGGTCGTAGGCATGCATAAGCGGCATTAAGCTGATGGGCTCCTAGGGAAACTTCACTTTCTATAACAAAGCACCTTCCAGGTAGGCTTCTTGTGACACCCAGGAATGTGTCTCTCATTGTGGCCATGCGGATAGAGCTGGTCTGTGAGTGCGGCAGAACCAACATAGGAAGCCACCAAATAAATTGATCTTGGAGCTGCCCTACCTCTTGACTAGTCAGTAATAAAGACCCCAGATCCAACTGGGCAAAGTAACCAAAGGTTATCTGCTTGGCTCATGTAACTGAAAAGTTTAAGAAGATATAAGGCTTCAGGCACAGCTTGATCCAGGTGCTTGCATGAGCTGATCAGGAGCCTGTTTGTCAGTGCTTCTGCCATCTCCCTTGGCCACATTATCAGGAAGGTTCTCATCTGGTGGCAAGGTTGGGTCTCCTTAGATCCTGTGGAAACAGTTTGTTTCTCTATAGTTTGGGCAAAGTTATGAGGATCAGTACTGGTGGGCCCAGCCTAGGTCACGTGCCAGCCTTAGAACAAATCACTATGGTTGAGGCACAACATACACACTAGATAAGGCTGGAGCCCCGCTGAGGGGAGCCCCAGGGTGGAGGTCATCATTTTTGGACATGCACAGCCCAGCCTCTGGCCAGGGATAAACTGGAGTCTGGGGCAGGAGTGGGAGCAGGGACAGCTTCCTGGATGAGGTGGGGAGGAGGGAGTTGAGAAGGAGCAGAGCGAGGACCAGCCAGAGAGAAACCAGGTAAGGGAGCCAGGTGTGTGTGCTTGGGGGGTGGGGGCAGTGAGTGCCTCTTGACCTTGAAGTCAGCCTAGATGGACCCGGGGGCAGGGCCCGGGTGCATGGAGGGGTCCCTAAGCCACAGGATGGCAGCACATACCCTGATTCCGCTGCCCACAGGACCCAACAGCTGAAGCTATGGCTGGGGCTCCATGTGCTTGGAGACAATGCCCTCAACTTAGAAGTCAAGAAAGTAATTCTGCACCCCGAGTACAAGCCGCCTCCCAGTCTGGAGAATGACCTCGCGCTGCTTAAGGTGCCGGGGCAGGTGGGAGAAGTGGCAGCTGCACCCAGGCCCCCCTATCCCCACTGCCCCTCTCCCACTGCACCTCACTCAGCTGTCCCTTCTTGTAGTTGGACCATAAGGTGAAGTTCAATAAAAGTATCAAGCCCCTGGCCTTACCCCGAAAGAAGCAGGCAGTGGCAGTGGGAGCACGGTGCAGTGTGGCCGGCTGGGGGCAGACCAAGCAGCACGGGCCCCTGGCAAGAGCGCTGCGGGAGCTGGACGTGCAAGTGCTGGACGCCAGGATGTGCAACAACAGTCGCTTCTGGCATGGTGACATCACCGCCTCCATGATCTGCCTGGATGCCAGCACCAAAAACCAGGGCCCCTGCAAGGTAAAGGGGCAGCAGTGGAGCAGGCCAGGGCAGGCTGGCTTGAGGCGAGGGTATCAGCCTGTGGCCAGGGGCGACCGGGCAAGCCCCAGCTCTCCCTGAGCCCCAACTCTGTCCATTCTCTGGGGGATCCTGGAGACTGGTACTAGCATTAGTCCATTTCTCAGACACAGAAACTGAGGCACAGGGAAGTTAAGTGACTTGAACACAGTCACACAGTCAGGGAGCAGCAGATATGGGTATGAACACTAGCACCAAAGATGATCACAGCATGTACAAAGGTCCTGGAGTGGGAAGAAGAAGCAAAGGGTGTTCAAAGGACAGAAAGGAAGGAAAAAGGGAATGAAAGAGGTTGGGAGGGGAGTAAGGAGGTGTGTGCAGGGAGGTGTGGGACCAGGATATATAGCCACTGGGGGAGGGTCTCTACCCTGGCACCAACCTCCCACCCCCAAGGGATAAACAGGCTTTCTTCAGCAGGCACTGAGTGTGACCCGTGCCCTGTGGTCTCCCACAGGGGGACTCAGGCGGGCCCCTGGTGTGCAAAGGCAAGATAGCTGGGATCCTGTCCTTCAGCTCCCAGACCTGCACTGACATTTTCAAGCCCCCTGTGGCCACTGCTGTGGCCCCCTATGTGTCCTGGATCAAGAAGATCATCAAACACAGGCTGGCAGCACCTCAGACCTGATGCTCCAGAGGGGACTCTGATTCCTTTGCTTGTGGGACCTTCCCCTGCAGGATTATGGGGAGGGGCAGAGAGGGGACTGGTCACAGGTCAGAGGACCAATAAATAATAATAAAGAAATTCTAGGAGTCCTGCTTGGATTCTGACCCCACTTCTGCCATGCTGGCTGTGAGGCCTTAGGCAAGCCTCGGTTTCCCCATTTATAAAACAGAGGCTGCATTTTTGAGGCTGCTAAAAGCAAGCCCAGCAGCAGGCGAGGGCCGGCTTCTCCAGGAGGGGCTCCAGGGTAAGCCCCAGAGGGTGGCAGGGGGTGGCATGGGCCAGTGCTGGGAGCCACAGCCAGAGTTAGGCCGGCAGGGGATGTGCTGTGTGCTGGAGAATGGGGTGGAGATCACTGAACACAAACATCCAAGAATCTTCTTCTTTTTATTTGTTTTGGTAATATCTTTACAACATTGGGATAGAATTCACATGACTTACAATTCCTTTATTTAAAGTATATAATTCAGCTGTTTTAGCATGTTCACAAGGTAATGTAACCATCACCTCTAATTCCAGCACATCCCATCACCCTAAAAAGCAGCGTTGTCCCTAATAACAATCACCTCCAGCCCCCTTCCTAGTCACTGACACCCACGAATCCACTCTCTGCTTCTGTGGATGTGCCTGTTCTGGACACTCCACATAAATGGAATCACACACTGGTTGCCTTTTGTGTCTGGCTTCTCTGAGCATCAAGGTCCACCCACGCTGTCGCAAGTGTCAGTGCTTTACTCCTTTTCGTGGCCAAGTAATATTCCAGTGTGTGGGTGGCTACATTTGCCCCTTGATGGAAATCTGAGTTGTGTTCACCATTTTGCTCGTGTGAATTTACTGCCATGGACACACATGTACTTGTATTTGTGTGGATGCAACTTCATTTCCCTTGGGTGAGCACCAAGAATGAAACTGCTTGGCCATACAGCAACTCTGTGCAACTTTTTGAGACTACTGTTCTACAGCAGAATCTTTGTATTATGAAAATTCCACACCCTGGCTGGTGTGGCTCAGTGGATTGAATGCTGGCCTGCGAACCAAAAGGTCGCTCGTTCGATTCCCAGTCAGGGCAGATGCCTGGGTTGTGGGCCAGGTCCCCAGTCGGGAGCATGTAAGAGGCAACCAATCGATGTAACTCTTGCACATCAATGTTTCTCTCCCTCTTTCTCCCTCCCTTCCCTTCTCTCTAAAAATAAATAAATAAAATCTTTTTAAAAAATTGAAGAGGAGGGAATACTCCCAAACTCATTAAAAAAAGAAGAAAGAAAATTCTGCCACACACTGCAAAGTTGGAATAATGAGCATTTAGATGCTTCACCACCCACTGTCCCTCTGTCCATCTATCCATCTATCCATCCGGCTTAGCTGCTGATGCATTTGCATTTCACACCATGGCTCCCCAAACACTTCAGCAGGGGTCTGAGTTCTTAGTCTCCCTCTGTCTCTCCCTCTGTCTCTGTCTCACACATACAATAAAATGCATGAATCTAAGTGGATGAATGGATAACTTGTTGTTTTGGCAAAAGCCAACAAATGTTTATAATCCAAACCCCAGCAGAGATGTGCATTAGTTACCCAAGGAGACTCCACTGCCCCTTGCAGTCTTGCCTTAGGCTTAGTTTTTGCATAGTTACTACTGCACTTGGGGAGTAGTTAATGGAACAAAAGATTACCCTGGAGGAAGACGGTTCCCCACTGCCACCCATTTTTCCCCAGGAGGCAAGTCTTATGTCTTCCAGGTGTCTGTGCAATATTTTTACAGGTTTCTTTTTCTTTTTCTTTTTAATTTTTAAAAAAGATTTTGTTTATTTATTTTTAGAGAGGGGAAGGGAGGGAGAAAGAGAGGTAGAGAAACATCAGTGTGTGGTTGCCTCTCATGCACCCCCTACTGGGGACCTGGCCCACAACCCAGGCATGTGCCCTGACTGGGAATTGAGCTGGCAACCCTTTGATTAGCAGACTGGCACTCATTCCACTGAGCCACACCAGCCAAGACTACAGGTTTGGTTTGGTTTAGTTTTTATTTATTTATTTTTAGAGAGAGGGGAAGGGAGGAAGAAAGAGAGGGAGAGAAACATCAATGTGCAAGAGAAACATCCATCAGTTGCCTCTTGACATGCCCCAAGTGAGGATTGAACCCTCAACCCGGGCTTGCACCCTGACCAGGAGTCAAACTGGCAACCTTTCAGTTTGTGGGAAGACACCCAAACCACTGAGCACACCAATCAGGCACTTTTACAGGGTTTTATACAAACAGAAACACTATCTACTCTGCTGGGCCTAGATATCACAGTATAAGGCCTGCCCCACCCCCAGAGCACGTACCAGGAACCTGGACTATCACCTCCTTTCCTCATGTCCCTTACCTCACACCCATGGATGACTCTGCAATTTGTCTACTGGCCCAGATCGGGGTTTGCTGCAAAGGCTGGCACTTACAGGCAGGCACTTTTTTCCTTCTGGTCACAGAACAGCAGTCGTATTCACTGAGCACTTACTAAGTTCCAGGCCTTCTGCAAAATGTCAGGAAACATCAAGAGACTCTTTCCCACTTTATTTATTACAGAGCAAGAGCAAGAAGAAAGGACAAATATGGGATGGGGAGGAGAAAAGATGAAGATTCTCTCTCTCTCTCTCTCTCTCTCTTTTTTTCTTTCTTTCTTTCTTTCTTTTTTTTTTTTTTTTTTTGGCAAATTGCTGAAAGGCCCTTATCTTTTTTTTTTTACAGACTTCATTTTTTAAGATGGTTTTAGATTTACAGAAAAGCGATGAGGAGAGCAGAGTTCCAATGTACTCACGCCCCTTCCCCCATGTGCACATCTTGTACCTAGGTCACAATTAACGAACCAATATTGATACTTTGTTCAGATTTTCTGTTTCCCCAAATGTCCCTTTTCTGGCCCCAGACCCCACCTCACATTCAGTCTTCTCCCTTAGGCCCCTCTGGGCAGTGACAGTTCTTCAGACTTTCCTTGTTTTGTTTTTTTTAATTTTATTTATTTATTTTTTGTGGGAGGAAGGGAGAAAGAGACAGAGAGGAACATCAGTATGTGGCTGTCTCTCATATGTCCCCACTGGGGACCTGGCCTAAAACCCAGGCATGTGCCCTGACTGGGAATCAAACTGGCGACCCTCCGGTTCACAGGCCGGTGCTCAACCCACTGAGCCACACCAGCCAGGGCTGTTTTGTTTTTTTAATTCTCACCCAAGGATATGTTTATTATTGAGAAAGAGAGAGAGAGAGAGAGAGAACAAGAGAGAAACATGGATGTGAGAGAAAAACATCAATCAGTTGCCTTCCTTATGCACCTCAACCAGGAATGGAACCATAACCTAAGTGTATGCCCTATCATGGACGTGAACCGCAACCTTTTGTTTAAGGATGACTCTCCAACCACTGAACACCCTGGCCAGGGCAAGTTAAGTGCATTTTTAATGTTTAACTTCCTACTGAGGCATCACCTGTGCACAGAACACACTCAGGTCACAACAGCCTGGTGACTTCTCACAAACCAAATGGTAATACTGTGATTTAACCAGAATGTATATTTGGTCTTTGTCCACATTTGTGGCACAGGGTTTCTAAAACACTTTGAGTTTCCTAAGTGATAAGACAAAGGAGTTTCTGTTGTTCATAACAAATCTCCCTCGTTAAAAACAAAACAAAACAAAATAAAAAAAACCCCACAGATCCCCCTCAACCACACCTGGAACAGAGCTAACAACCTAAAAGACCAAGGGGTTAGAACAGCGATTTTTTTTTTAGCCCTGGCTGGTGTGGTTCAGTGGATTGAATGCCAGCCTACAAACCAAAAGGTCGCTGATTTGATTCCAGTGTAGGGAACATGCCTGGGTTGCAGGCCAGATCACCAGCAGGGGGCGCGCAAAATGCAACCACATATTGATGTTTCTCTCCCTGTCTTTAAAACAAAACAAAACAAAACAAAACAGCGATTTTTCGTCTCATGGCACATATAAACTTATTACTAAAATTCTGCGGCAGACCAAAAAACATATTTTTTTGCCAATCTGGCCAAAGAAGGTATAATTTTGACTCATTCACACCAGACAGCTACTGTTGTGTTGGCTGCTGTCACATTTTTATTTGACAGTCTAAGGGAAAATAGGTCAGTGCCCCTGACTAAATAGCCAGGTACTACCCGTTTTAGACAGTGTGGCGGCACACCTGTTGAAAAATCACTGGGTTAGAAGGTAGGAACTTTCAGCCTCAACCTGGGGAGAGAGGAGTCTGCCAATCGCTCAACACAAGCTCACACCTCTGTTCCACGGGAACCGAAGTTCCTGTACTCAGGACCCTTCTGGGTCTGACCCTGTGCACCCTGTCGTCTCCGGTCAATCTGCGTCCTTCATCACTGCACTGCTTATTCTGTATCATAAGCAGCTATGTGTAAGTAAGTCTTTCCCTGAGGTCTGTGAGCAGCCCTAGCAAATTAATCAAACCCAAGGAGGGGGCTGTGGAAACCTCTCACTTGTAGCCACTCTGTAGGTCAGAAGCATAGGTGACAACCTGACTCTTGACTGGCACCTGACTTGGGGGCAGTCTAATGGGGCCTTTCCTTCTCCCCACTCCACGTTTTATGATGTGCATTTTTTTCCCTTCTTTTTTAATCTTCAACCGAGGACATGCTTATTGATTTTTAGAGAGAGGAAGGGACAGAAAAAGAGACGGAGAGAAACATTGATGTGTTGCTTTTCATATGTGCCCAGAGAGAGAAGGAACCCACAACATAAGCATGCGCTCTGACCCCAGGGAATCATTCCACCACCTTCTGGGGTACGGGATGATGCTCCAACCACTGGACATCCCGGCCAGGGCAAATGAGTGCATTTTTAGTGTTTAACTTTCTATTGAAGCATCACCTGTGCACAGAACACACCCTGGTCACTACAGCCTGGTGACGACGCACAACCAACTGAGCCACACTGGCTGGGACTCATGATGTATA